TCCAACATAGATTAGCCTAGCACATAGCATATCTTAGTACAGGAAAGGAGGAAGTTGACAAGGGTTTCAAAAGGAATGGGGCTTAGGATAGGTCAATTGCATTTTGCACAAGGTCAGTCACAAAAAAATACTACTACTCTTTTTTTTTTAATAAGCTCACAGTCATAAAACATTCCCAAAATATCTTTCCTCCCACAGATGTCTCTGCATGACTGTGATCTCCTGAGAACTCCTAACAGGTTAGGACGCCTCTGAAGCCCTCTAGATACTGGCAAAGATATGAGTAATTTCCCTGTTTCCTAAGGCCTAAAAGTAGAAGCAAATGCGTTTCTTTGTGATATTTTGGCCAGTTAGGCCTGATTTTTATGACATGCTCGATAAATACGAGCCCAGCTGTTTATGTCTGGCAAGCCAGTCCATTGTTGAGAGATAAATAGAGAGGGGTTTCCCTCGGGGAGGCTGAAGTGGGTGGAAACAATACACTATTGGTTTATTGAAAGCTTGCCAGCTATGGTTAGGTGTGTACAATATGTATGTGTGTGTATGTGTGCGTGTGTGTGTGTGTGTGTGAGTGAGTGAGAGAGTCCTTAAATCACTCTTCAGGTATGATAAAAATAACATGACTTCACAGTGTCCCGCCTGCTGGGGTTTGTATAATCTCCGTCGACTTTACAGAGGGAAAGAAGCCCGGGGCTACAAGGACAAATACAAACAATAACCAGCATTCACGTTCAAAGCCAGCGCTGGCATGGCTGCAAACACCTGGATGGAAAACACAACACACACACACAAACACCCACCCACCCAACCACCACAACATATACAAACAGAGCTTCACACCTGGACAGGAGAATAATACAGCAAGGGCTTAGTGTTGCTGCTCTGTAATCATTCTCACATGCTGCATCATTTTCCTCTCATCACATGCACACATGCGTGTGCCAAACCCCACTTGAATGCATTAACACACATTCCCCTTAAGAAGCTCAAACAAAGGGAGGAAAGTCTAAAACAAAATAATGAAATGGAGACAATATAACATCCTGGATCTTTAATCACCACTGCCTACGCTTTTGCTTTTTATTCACTCAACCAATCAGGGTGCTCCAGTGGGACAGCGCCCCCTCCTTTCTCCCCCGACATCATGTGTGGGAGTAGTATGGGGTCAACAAATTGTCCTTTACCAACCTTATGGCCCTGTGACTTTTGTTGACTGACCACAGTGGACTGGACTGCAGTGTCTGACTGTACAGTAAAAGCAGTCTAAATCTACAATTTGTTTGGATAATGCTTAAAACTGTTCAATTAAACTGATCTGTCATTACAAACATTTAGACCAGAGAACTTATACTGAAATTCTAATTAAAATATCAAGCTTTCAAAACATACCAAACACCAGGCTGGAATTACAAGGAAGTGTCTATAAAATGATGGACAACACATATACTGTATACTATCTAGCCACTAAACAGGATCATTTGGCATTAGAAATTCAGTTGTGCCCTACCAAAGTAAAAGTAATCTCAGTGTGATTCAGCTTTTTCCTAAATGTTTGGGACCAACTGACCCCCTACTGACTGCAGCTACAAAAGGAAAGATGAGAGTTGAACATAGTAAGTAATATTACTGCCACTTCATTAGTCATACTGTTGTATATGCATTTGGACAATAAAGCACTCGGATGCGGGACAAGCTCACCAAAAAAAGAATGGTCTCTGTCTACCTCTAAGCGGACTCTGGTGTGGATCGCTCATGGTGTGAAAGCAAACAAACCAACCACAGGGTTTTATGATAGCAGATATGGGATTTTAGTACAATTCCAAAAGCTAAACTACTAATAAATCCATCTGCTGATCGTGACATCTGTTCAGGAAGCAATCTTATTAATCCCTGAATATATTTATGCAAATAATTTGATAACACATATGCACATGTATTTTTTTAATACTTAATTTACTTTGTCAGTGTATTAAAAGGTCCAGTGTGTAACATTTAGAAGGATCTATTGTCAGAAATGGAATATATAATCTATAGGTATGTTTTCATTAGTGTATAATCACATAGAAATAAGAATCATTGTGTTTTCGTTACTGTAGAATGAGCTGTTTTTATCTACAGAGGAGCAGGTCTTCCTATATGGGGGCCGCCATATGTAGCCCAGAATGGAAAAAAACAAACACTTTAGGCTTTAGATGGTGCAATTTGTGTTCTTTTCAAATTCTGCATTCAACGACTGCCTGATTAAATAAAGATTATTAATATTCACATCAGAAGCATTAAAGTTCTGCAGAACCTGGGACTGATTTCCCCACGTGGCTCAAAACGTCAGTGTGAACAGGAACCAGACGGAACGTTTCCCCCACTGTCTGGAACAAATGAACCAAACTACACGTGTGAATACACCCTAAAACACTACTGATAAGATTTTGAATTTGAGTGATGTCGAAATCATGCAGTATTTTAAAAAAAAATTACTGACAGAAGAGTGAAGCTCCCAAAGCTTTCATGGCTGTGCCTTGTTCTATAGTTTTATGTATTCATCAAGACAAGTAATTGTGTATCAAATAAAGAAGAAAGTGTGATGCCAAGTGGAGTGAAGCTAACCTGCAAACTGTCCAGGATGATGCGTAGAGACTGAACCTGTCTCCTGACAGCATTGGAGAAGCGCTCATACGTGGCGGCATCGTACTCGCTCATATTGATCTCCTTCAACCTGACGTGGAAGGACAGAGAAAAACACAGAGGGAGAGGACAGAAGAACAGTTTAAGAGTTTGATTGGTTTGACATGTTTCAGGCAAACCATCCATTGTCTTCAAGCATACAGTCTTTCAACTTTAACAGAGGCATACAGGCTCTGTTAACTCACACTGGTGATGACAGGGAGCCATGAAAAATCTTAAGGACACTCTATAAGTCATATTTTTTGTTCTCTCTACTCAGCTCATCTCTGAACTCAAGACTTTCCCCTCACTTCACACATTCTTTGCAAAAGCTGAGGGTGCTACTGCAAGCATTATATACCTTTCATCTTCTCCCCATGCTTTTTACAAAATAATTACGCTTCTAAACATAAAAACAGGTGAGTTAGACAAGAGAAAGGAATGGAAATAGAAAAAATCTCGAAACACCTGTGGACAAACTGACAAAAGGGTCAGTGTGTGTGTGTGTGTGTGCGTGTGTATGTGGGGGACAGAGACAGGTGAGGGAAATCTCTGCCAGGTGTTTGAAAACTTTTGGTGACAAGCAGACCGTGACCACCACAGTGATAGAGAGTGGTGACTTCAAAATGCAGGTAGGTATGGATGGCTGGTGGAGAGGCTCTGACTTTATGAGTCACAACTTGAATAAACCTGTGTGTGTGTCTGTGTGTGAGGGATTTGCATGAGAGTAGAGTAAGAGGTAGGATGTATTGCGTAGACTGTGTGGCATCAACCATGCATTCAAAAAGACCAAATACACACTAATACATATTCACTCACAGGATATGTATAATGTCTGCAGTGGATGGCTGAATTAAGCTACATCATCAGCAACACCTGGAGTGTTTTAAGGGACCAGTGTGTATGGGGAAAGGCCTTCTCTAGAGGCAGTACTTGGTTTGTCCGTTCTGGGCAACTGTAGAAACATGGCAGTTCAACATGGCGGACTCCGCCTCTGTAGATAAAAACAGCTCTTTTTAAGGTAATAAAAAAACACAATTCTTATTTTCAGATAATTATACGCTAATGAAAACATACCTATGAATAATGTCTTCCATTTTCTGACAATGGAAAGACACAGCTTTAAATCTTCTAAAAAAAAAACAACAACCGTTGGTGAGCCACACGGTGTGCTACAACACTCATTAGAACTACCAAACAAACAAACAAACAAACAAACAAACAAAGAACAAATGTAAATATTTAAATACAAGAAGTATAAATATGAAAGTGTATTTCAGTGAAATTGCATTTAGATTCTGAGCTTGCCACTTCCTCTTAGTTAAAAGGTGAGAACAACAACAGCGCAAAGAGCCACAGTGAACCTTCTTCCACTCATATTGTATCATTTAGATGTGAATGGCAGCTTGAACAGACTACTGTATTAGATTGTGGTAGCACATTTTGCTCCATTTAAGACATTTCAATACTTTAAAATATATTCAGATGCTCTATTCTAATATTTTACATTTTATAGCTTAGAGCTTAAGGCTCTGTGAATAACTTGTAGAAATGGCTCATATATTCCATTCATTCATCCATCATCTATATCTTCTTATAACTCCTCTATAGCTGCTATCTTTGGCTACATTCACACTGCTCGCACAAGTGACCCAAATCTGATGTTTTTTGCCCATATGTGACTCAGATCTGTTTTATCATCACAGTGTGAACAGCACAAATAACATGAAATCTGATCTTTTCAATTATGATTGGGAACACTTTTACATGTGGTCCAAATCAGATACAGGTCACATTTTTTGCAATGTGACCTGGGTGTGTCATATCAGGATTCATGTGACTTTTATATCACTCAGTGGTTCCCATTCTCGGGGTCTGACCCCCCACTAGGGATTGCCAAAGCTTCTCAGGGGGTCACAGGAAGAAAAAAACACTGAATCTGTCATAAAAAATAAGGTATTCATGGTTGTAAAAAACATAATACAGAAAGAGAATTGTATAAAAAGTTTCTAAAAATATCAGTAAAACAAATAATCTGCTCAAAATTCATCCAAATCACTCAGTTATTGTGTTCACTGTTTGGGTTCATTGTACAGTTTATCAGTTGTTCTTTACTGTTATTGCTTTTGAATATAATATGAAATATCCATAAAATATATCACTTAGTCAATTTACTCAGTGATAGAAAAGGGATCCCTTAAGGAAAAAGGTTGGAACCACTGCTCTAGTTTGACATTCGTTATGAGGATCACTTCAGGACTATGACCAGTTCACACTGGAATCTGCTATGGGCCATTTAACAAATAATGTGAACAGCCAAACAAAACCAAAAATCAGATCTGAGCAATAAGTCAGAATTGAGCACTAAGGCTTGCAGTGTAAACAAAGCCACTGTCAGCAGTCTATCAGAGGTCTAAAGGCCTCTGCACACCAAC